CAACCTGCAAATTTTTGTGGATTATCAGTAAAACACATTGCATAATTATGGTCATCCAGCATGCCCCCCCCCCGGTAAAAGAACTGCTCCCAAAGATGGACTAAAGTTTCTCCCTTCATCTAGATCCTTCCATCCAATCAGTTCATTCGTCTGCCTGTCGAATCTCTTGACAGAAAATTCTCGTCCTGTAATCCAGAGACTGTTGAAACTAGTTAGCCGGTGGTACCACCACAGGAATGATGCATGTTCGTAACCCACCTACGTCGCTTGGGTATCTGAACCCTCACCTCTGGCACTGTACTGTTTCCACGACTTTGCGCTCTTGGTTAAATCAGTGGAGAGCTAACAAATGATGGTCCACGAAGTACGAATTTATACCGTCTGTATAATTTAAGAGAAAATCAAATATTCAGCATGAGCATCGGCATATTAGCGTCAAACATTCGTTTTCAAAGCATTTTGTTCATTTTGGGTAACTATTTCTGGACGTTTATTTGAGCAGTCAAACGTACAAGCTGTGTTGTTTGCATTCGAAGGCGCGGCAGTGCTGTATTTTTTCACGCCATCGAAAAGCTTAGCGCCCTTCCCTTCCTCATTTGCCCAAGCAATAATCGAGCAGATCGCGTAGCCCCATCAATGAGCGTGCTTTACATTTAGAACGATAGCTGGTCACAGCTCAGGGACCTGCGAGGTACTGGCAAGACTAATGAAAAACAAATCTGTTTCAATAAGAATTATGAAAGTTGGCACTTAATCTCTATTCTCAATTTGTACTCTGAGTATTTCCTTCATGAGGAACAAAGTCAGCTCCGTTATTGCACTTGCAGAGTTATCTGAATTTTTGAGACTTATGGCAAATTTACTCTACCAACGCACGGCTACAGAGAATTCGCTTTTCCGTAACTCATTGTCGCGTTTTGATCCCTACCCACTCTCGATGACATCTCTGATGTAGTCGATTTACAATGAGCAATTATATTATGAAATTAGAAAATTATCAAACATATTAACCTTTCACTCAGTTAAACATACGCTAATCCCTGCTAATAAGTTTCTTTAGTTAACTGATAAATAAGGGAACGCTATGAACACTCAAACTGCTTTCGCATAGGTGTAACATGTACTCAATTAAATGTTTGTGGTAACAGATGTCAAAACCCATTAGCTACAAGAACCATCAACTTAAACTCTAATGAGTAATAAGTTTTGGCACGTGTACTAATTTAACCTACTAAACGTCGAACTTCATTCACCTACGTGATTGCTTATAATGTTCATTGTGTACTCGGTCCAGCAGTAAGGGTTGGAATTTTCAAACAGGTCTCTCATAAGTACGTTTCCAATGATTTCATGCCGTTTGAACCGCTCGAAGTCGTACATGGTGAGCTGAAAAGATTTTCTAGCAATGCACCGAGTTATGTAACACCGGCATACCTGCAGCATCCTCCATGAAAGACTGTCTACGGCGGCGTCAAACGCGAACACTTCGTTGAAGGTCGGCTTAACAGTCTTTGGGTGAATTTGGCTTTTACAGTAGCAGTGCCTTTCTGGTAGCAGGTAGCATTTAATGTAAGGATTCGGTATCCGATTCTGGTCCTATAAAAGCAATGGGTAAATGGATTACAGGACAAGACTTTTATACACCACAGTACGTTTTTCATATTTTGAATATAGACACTGTAAGTTACTCACAGTACAACAAAAAGTGAATTAAACCTCTGCCCTCATTTTCGCGATATTTCGGCTCCAACCCAAAGTTTCAAGCAAAGTCTATTTTTGAAACACGTATCTAACAGGATGATGCGTTTCTCCAGGTGTAACTGCGAACTTGAATCTACTATCGCAGTACATAATATGATGCCTGAGATACATCGTTCAGCAGTTCATAAAAGCCTTACTTGACAAAATTTGTTGTATACTGCGCCGCCCATTTTCTTTTCTGGCTACACATACAAGACTGGAAAAATATTTTACGATATACGAAATCGCTGTGGAATATACGTTCTCAGTTCAGTATTCATACTCTCTGTAACAGTAGGATCAACAGCGTTGGATGATAGCAACATTCCCTGCATTTCGTATTATTAGTGGAACGTCTGTTTCGATCCAAAAAGGGTAAGAGGATGATTCATACCAATGATGAACGGTT